TTGTTTGATACAAGCTTTCTGCTGTTGCCAGTATGTACCAAACTAAATGATATGAGTGAAAAACGGGAAGGTACAGTCAAAATGTGATTTTCTAAGGCTGAACCACAAAAGAATTTATAGAACAGCAACTGCGTTCTTTCATAACTGCCAAGTATTGCTACAGCCACCAGTACAAAACCTTTAAAGAGCTCTTTTTCTGGAAGGTGTGTGAATTGATTGGATGTGTATGTAGCAATGCCTCACTAATAATAATTGCATGGCGTATTTGAACCTTCTCTGAACCTTTTATTTATCTCCATGAACTGGATAATTTTAATTAGCTCCTGCTACAACAAAGAGTTCAGGCACTTCCTGCAAAGATGTTACTTTTGAAGAATGGATGAATAGTATCACGACTGTCAAATAGCCCTGTGCAGACTTGCAGAAAGTTTCTGTGTATAGACATGAATTCCAGGTGTCTCTCCTCATACACAGACCAAATCGGTTATGAGTACTAAAAGAATGAAACAGGTATTCCAGTATTTACATACATGTTAGAGATATTTAAGGGAGCATCTTTGTTTTGCAGCAATTTCACAACCTTAGATTTTCAGAGGACCAGTTGAAACTCTCCGCTTGCTAGACTTGGCATTTACGCAACTGTAACTTTAGTATTTATTTCTGCTTTACTGAAGTTACAAAATTATAACCAAAATGACCTTGAGGAGTGCTAAAAGAATTTTCTGTTAACACATTCTAATGATGCATAGATGAAATAAATTTAAAGTAGTCAAAGTGCTTGCTTTGAATAATAAGAAATTAAAACGAACTGCAAAAGTAGGCATTTTGTCTTGTTTTGGTTTGTTTGAAACAAAAGGAACTAGGTGTCCTACCAGAGTGGAGATTTCCAATGATACAGTTATTAACAACTGCTTTGGCTAGTATAGCTTAACAACTTACTTAGTAAGCTGATAGTACAAATACCTTATTCCTGCCTGACTGGGGAAGGAATATTGTCTTCTTAGGAATATTGTATTTTTAGGTAAGAGTAAGTGCACATTCTTCTCAGGAAGAGATAAAGGAAGCATGGAGGGGGAACATAAAATTGACTGGAATTACTCTGCAGAGTGGTTCAAGAGCTCCGGCTTACTTCAGATGTTGCAGGAGAAGCAAAGCACTCCACGTGATCCACAGTATTGCAGGCTCACCATCAGTCCCCAGTAACAGCTGCTTGCCAGAAGCCAGATGGGAAAATTATTCTGTTAACATGTTTACTTGGATTCCTCACATTCAGACTCATACATTGGCAGTTTTCCTGATTATCTTCTGGACCTGCAGTTAGTCTCAACTTTGGGTATGTACATGTGTTGCCTGCCTTTAACACACGACTTGAAGCGTGGTTGTGGCATATTTCTATGCTCTGGGGCAGACATCTAGGAAACTACCAGCTGTTCACGCTATGCTCTTCCTATTTTGGCCCTTCATAACACCACTGCCACTTCTTTCTACTGCCAGCCTTTCTACTTAAACAGAATCATTTTTTATTTTTCCACTTCATTATGACATCTCAGTGATCAGCTACCTGAACAGAGAAGCAAAAATGGGATCCCAGAAGTGCTACCCCATCTTTATCTGCATTTGATAAATGTAGGAGTTTCTCAGTCAGTGCCTAGGGACTGAAAAGATAGGAAGGATCGATTTCTCTTGATAAGATGTATTTGAGCATAAAAAGAGTGCACATCTTGTCTTTCTTTTGTCATTAAGTACATACTTACTGACAAGGCTGCTGAGCAGAGGGGAAGAAAATGAGAAAATTAAATCAAAAGGGCCAGCAGTAAAATTCTGTAATTTTCCTTTGGCAGTTCCAACAACTGCTCCATGGTTCTGTAATTTTCAAGAATTTTTACAAAAGACCTTAAATTATTAGAAAAATATTTTACAACTCATGGAAGCAAAGTGCCTATAGATTGAAAGAGAATAAAGGGTTTTATTGCACAGGTAACAATGACTGGCCTACAACTGGTATAGAATTGGACAAAAGCTGCCCTATGTGCCACCTTCTGTCTCAGCAAAAGCTCTCTCCGGGGTGGAGAGTAGGTAAAGATTATTTCTAGGAAGGGTCCCATTCCACAGTCAGAATTTCTGCAAAGATAAATTAGTGATGCCCTCAATAGAAAAGGTCAAATGGTTCTGATGCTTCAACATGGAACTCAGTGACAAAAAAGGTAAAAGGATCATTCTGGTTTCTTTGCGCCATTCAAATGCTAATTAATTGAACTCGTTTGTCAGTATCACTCCTAGTAAGATAACTTCTGAGGGGTTATTTCCACAGTCATTTAAATCAGCTGCCAGAATAAATCTGGCTGGACTATTTCAGCAGTTCTGTTGTTTACAAAGGCTGCTGAAAAACTCATCCAAGAGGTTTAAGAGACACTGTAACTTGTCTGGAATGTCCTGTTCTAAGGTTTGGATCTTCAATGATTTGTCCAGCATGGAAAAATGGAGATAAAGATGTAGCTGGCAAAAGAGACTCTAACTTAATTCTAACTACAGTTCTGAGAAGTCAGTTACCGGTTGCTGGAAACTAGAAAGACTTCCTGTATGTAAAAGGTTATATCAAAAGCACAAAATAATGGTCTATGGTGACATAGTGTGTTGCTTAGATAAACAGTCCTGTACATTTATATCTGGGCTGCTGCTCTCAGAGTATATGAATGGTAAAGCAACAGTGACAGAAGTTTCCAAGTAGCCCTGCTCTACAGGAGCAATACGGGCAGGAGTCCATTGCTGCCCCTTCAAAATAATCTGTGAACCTTTGTCGAGTTTGTAAGTCTTATTTTGTCTATTTTGTAGGTCCTTCCAGGTCTGAAGTCACAGCCATCCTACTCCTATATCTGAGAAAGCAGCAACCCAAAGAAATAAGTGCGTACTGGGTGATGGCCTGACAGAACTGCTAAGAGGGAGCACCACACTGGTGGGGTGACTGGATGTAATCAAAGCTTGCTGAAATAAAAGGGAATTGGAAGTATTTTGCAATTTGGAGACTTAGGTTCACAGAAGGTAGATTAAAATATGTATTTATTTTATATTAGTTTGTAGGCTTTACAAATGACATTTTATTAGACCACCTCATATGCCTGGAAAGAATGAACACATTTTGGGTACTATGAATCGTTCTTCTAGAATTACATGTAATAATTTTGTGCTTCCCTGTATGGAACTGAGAAGCACTAAGAAACTGGTGCTTTATGATCTGTAAAACCAACATAAATCTGACGGTTTTACGATGCTTTTTAACTAAACATTGAATTTTTGAATATACAACAGAAATTATTTGATTGTTTAAAGGACAATGAGAAAAGGATTCCAGAGAAGTAAAGAAAAAGATATTTTTAACAGCTAAAAATATCCCAAAACTGATCATGTCTAAGAATTGTGCTGTTTAAGCCTAAGACATTTGTTGTGCGTAATCAGGCAGATTTGTGGTTTTATTATACACTGGTTTGCAAGTTAATTATAGAAAGAATCACTTAATTAAAGCAGTCCACAGAAAACTTGGTAAAATTTTATGAGCATAACACTGAGACGACCTTCTTGCTTCACTCATGACAGTCTGGCATCCTTGGAGGTTCATGCATGAGTATGTTCATGAGAAGATTCAGGGCTTAGGTGTTTACTTCTCTTAGATGCTGTGACTTGTGAAACTTAATATCAGTGGTCTAGTCACCATTGTAACTAGAATGAGCAGCCACTTAAATCCTGAGAGCAGGTAACACCAAATTCATGCAATCTAAAGCTAAATATCAGTAAAGTGATGCTCAAGTCAAGTTTTTCCTTGAAATGTCAGAGCCCAACTATTTTTAGGATACTAGAGAGAATAATGAAGAAATACATTTGCACCCCACTCCAATCTGGCCTGGTCTTCATGTCTCTATGTAGATGTTTCCAACACTTTAGTAAGTATTGGGTTTGAATTGGCAGATACTCTACTGAAACTATTTTAAGTTCCATAAAACTGTTTCATTTTCTAAGTCTCAATTTGAGCATGAGACATCAGACAGATCAAAGACTAGCCAGAGTGAACAGTATTCTTTTTCTCTCAAACAGTTAATGAATTTCTAATTCATATGTATTTCGACACTATATATATTTCAAAAGTAAGCTAATCAAATACCAGCAAAGTAGCACTGCATACATGTTTGTGCATATCCTCCTACTATATTTGACAGGCTTCCGAACCAGCTGAATGTTCTGCAGCAAAGGAAAAAGCAACTGAATACATAATTTGATAAAACTGGTCCAATCTATGAAGCTGTATTTTTGGCAAGTGTTGCCTGTTGTCTCATTTGCAATTCTGTTTTGGTTTCTTCTACTTCTCTCTCACGTCCCTGCTCTGAGCCTTTCCACGCTGTTGGAATTATCTTAATTTTTGTGCTCTCTCTTTCTTAGCTAGTGGACATTTGATATGTTTGATGTTATTTAACAGAACAGTGCCCAAATACTCCTGCATGCTTAGGCCAGAGCCCGTATATGAAACTGGTTAGTATCTGGTTTACATTTACAGCACTCAGTGAATCCATATGGAAGTAAAGGGGATGGTCATGATGGAATGCATGCTCCAACTGCAGGCTGTCAGTGTCTTTAAGCATGCTCCTGCTCTGCATTTTCTGTGTGCTCTGTGTGCTCTGTCTGCTCTTTATCACAGCAACGTTCCTGCTTTATCCCTTAGTGCATACGGCTGTGATGGCTTATCTTTATGGCAGGGAGAGCTGCGGGGCTGGCGCCCTGGCCTGGGACGGGCTGACACTGAAACGCCTTTTCTAAAGCGGAGTTCTGAAAGCGACGGAGAGAAACTCTCTGTAAGTCTATTAAAACTGCTTAAGAAAAGAACCCAACCCCCGAAAACCCGAGCAAGACCCTCCTCGTGAAAAAGGTGTGCCGGGACCGCGGAAGGTCGCTGTCGCAACGCCTGGCCGAGCGGAGGGGCTCGGAATGCCGCCCTGCTCTGCTCCCACCCTGCTCTGCTCCCGCCCCTCCGGGCGGGCACCGTGTCTCGGGGCGGCACCGCCCGCAGCTCCACCGGCCCGGGCCCGCACCCGACCCCGCCCGGCCGCTCGGCCGGCCCCTCCTTCGAGGAGCTCGCTGCCGTGTACGGGGCTCGGAAGATGGAGGACTACGGGCGGTTCTTGGCGTTACTGATCTCGGCTCTGCTGGTCGGCTTCGTGTCCGTCATCTTCTCCCTAGTTTGGGTCTTCCACTACCGCGAAGGGCTGAGCTGGGACGGCAGCGTGAGGGAGTTCAACTGGCACCCCGTCCTCATCATCACGGGCTTCGTCTTCATCCAGGGCATCGGTGCGCCAAGGGCCCCGGGCTGGCACGGAGGGGGCCGGGCCGGGGCGGAGTGGAGCGGCGTGGAGCCGCTGGGGAGCCGGGGCTGCGTGGGGCCGGGGCTGCCGCACGGCGGGAAGCGGCGCAGCCGCCGGGGTGGCCCGGGGCCGGTGACAGCGGGAGCGCCGCTCCGCGGTGAACGGGCCGGAGCGGTTTAGGGAAGTCAGCGCTCCCCGAGAAGGGACAAAGAGTTCCTTGTAATAAGCCAAAACTGCTATGTTTTTTTTCTGCAAGCACTTGTTTACCCTGGCCTGGCATTGCCTTGCACTTGGAGTAACGCTTGCGAGCTGTGTTTTCCTAGTCAGCCTCAATTTATGCAAGTTGAGAATCGCAATGTCAGAAATGCTGCTCTAGGAAAGTTTCTTGCTTTTGGCTCCCTTGCTTTTGGCTCTCTCCCGTATCCCAAGAGGAGAAAGGAAAGTTCAGTACCACTGAAGCTAGATCCAGGAACGGGGTTTGTGCCAGAGAAAGCGTAAGCATCGTTAAAAAGCAATTCATCAGCCCAGACGTAATAGAAATCATTTTGGAAAATATACGTTTTAAATCCATTCTTATTATTTTGCCTAAGTAACATACAGTGATTATGATGCAGCGGGGTTTTGGTTTGGGTTTGGTTTTTTTTTCATAGAGTGTATAAACTTTCAATTACATAGAGTTCAGCCTTGTACTAACTGAAATGTTTCCCATTACACTTAACAACACGAACAGTATGCTAGGTCCTAAGTGTAAGGGTTGGTCCTCGAGGCCAAGAGGAATACTGGAGTTTGAACTGTCTTTGTAGTTAGCGACATTGGCTAATTCCAAGAAAGCAACTAAATTAGACACACTGCAGTGGAAAAACTGGAAACTTTGGAAAGAAAAATACAATGCTCAGTAAAGTTAAAAAGCAGATAATGAATGATAGAGGACCACAGAGGTGCTTAGCTAACTGCTTGTGAATATATTTAAACTAGAGCTAAATACTGCAAAAATAAGGGCATTGGACTGTATCTAAAAAATTCTTGTCAACTTATGCTAATGGTATTAAAACTAATGGGGAAATTTGACAGAGAAAACAGCTTCCGGCAGTAATTTTTCATAAACTCAGTGACAAAGTTTTTGTAGTTTCAACACGAAGAGAACTAAGTGAAACATTAGGAACGTCTCCAAGAAGGGCAAAAAATTCTGCAGAGCAGTGGAAATTCTCCCACAGTTTTACCACTGTCTTCTGGGGTGAGACGATGGGGAAGATTTTACTGTTCTTCAACTGTAAATCGCTGGAGACTTACAGTATCAACGTAAGCATTTGAAATAGAAGAGAAACTCGAATTTTGTCTAGACAAACTTAAAATTTCAGTTTTAATAACCTTATTTATATGCCTTTCACTGCTGAAAGATACCCTGCATCCATCCAGCCAGAAAACTTGGCCAGCACATCCAGACATTCATTCCAGTGGAACATGCTGTTTGCATCACATGTGTGCTCGCTTGCTCTTCAGCAAGAGCCCAGCCAGTCAGAGGCTGGAAGATGCAGGAGGAGCGGGTGGCTGTCTAGTTCTGGCTATGAAGGGAATGTTGTGATTTGAACACACACTGCACATTCCACTTTTTTCAATGGCAGTGGAGTGTGTTCTCAGCTTTGTGGCTTCAAGTTACAAATTATTATTGAGCAATAAACAGTAATTTGAAGTTGTTTTACACAATATTGCTCAATAGGAAGTGTAATTTCAGGCTATAAATAAGCAGTGAGAAACACCTGGTGACTTCACTAAGATCTATACTACTTACTATGATCAAACTGCTGGTCTTTATATAAGCATAGACTTTTTGAAGAAAATAGGGAGAGGTTTTCTGAAGCTTTTTCCTACACATTGTTTTTTATTGCCCTAAAACTTGTTTTTTCCCAGTGTCACAGTGTAAGGATGTTGACTCAAGTCTTGTGTAGGTAAGGATGTAAAGTAAATGGAAGTTTACTTTTACTCTGCGCACACACACAAGAAAAATAAGTCTTTCAGTAGTTAGAAGTGGAAAGGAATAAGTTAACAAATATCTTGGTTAAATTTGTGGAGGGGATTTGAAAAAATAACCAAATCAAATGTTTCTTGAGTTCATTAGTTTATACATAGGATAGAAATGTTGTATGTTGGTCTGTAGGGGGTAGAAAGCATGACTATAATAATAGCATATTGGGAAGTAGATGTCCCCTGATAAAAGTGTTGCATGTATTTGTCAATCAAGTGAAAAAGCTGTAGACATGTTAATACCTATTACTTATGGATCAGGTGGATCATTTAGTTTTGGGTATAGGATACCTGACAAAACACTGGCAGTGCACAGTAATTCTTCAGATGATTTTCTACACTTAAAGTGGGGAAAACAGAGGCAATAGAAGCCTCTGTGTGTATCAGTACATATTTTTTTAAAGAAAAAGATAGGGAAATAACATGAGGGAAAACAGAGTTTTAAGAAGGGCTTGAAGGAATAGTAGTGTGATAGAATGGATTAAATAAATAAATAAGGAATCCTGTCTTATTTCACATGTGGAAATGTTGAACAGTGATTGTAGACACAGGGCACGCTCCAAAGGAGTATTTTGTACTGGTTGGTTTGAGCCAGCTCTAGCCTTTTTCTGGCCTTTTTGAAGGCCATGAACTAAATTAACTCAAGTAGCAGAAAACTAACACCCACCCGGCCACCCCAAGTACATATTTTTGCTGGAATAGAAAGTCGGATTGCCTGCACTAAAGGTCTCTGAAGGGCCGTAGATGGCAGAAGCGAAATGGTGGGCAATGTGGAAGAGCAAGAAGAAAGACTGCAAATCAATTTTAAAGTAAGCATAGTCTTTCATCATGAAATCACACCAAAAGATACTGCTTCCTCTGAGTTATCTGACAAATCTCTGCTTCAAACATAAAATCCCCCAGTCTGTTCAAAGGAAAAGTAGCTAATTGCTGGAGTTTCTAATAGCCAATGGACTGCAGAGTTCTCATGAACTGGAAAGGCAAATTACTTCTGAGCTGTAAGGATCTCGTCACAGGCAGCTTGTGAAGAGGCAGCTCTCTCGATGAGCTTAGTTTGAGTTGTTTGAAATCATAAATGGGCACTTGTTGATTCTGGTGTTAAAGTGGTTCCAAAAAAATCTACTGGGCATTCAGAACATGCCAAAGGTAAGCAACGGGATCAGCCAAGATGGAGCAAGAGAGGAAATGGGAGGAGTGAAGAGGAACATTCCTTTCTGGCACCCCAGTGCACTCACAGAACCACGCTGTGTGCCTCCTAAAGGGGAAGGCATCTCATGAGCAATCCATGACATCTCTCCTACAGCATGCAAAGCATGTGCCAGTCAGAAGTACTAGAGAGCTAACTCTAGAATTTTACTTTGTACATTTGGCAAAGAACAGATGTCACATGCCACATACAAGGTATTGTAAGATCACTCAGCCCTATGTGACATGCTTTAAAATCAGAGCTCAAAACAGGAATGAGATCTGAGTGAAAAAGCTGCATCTATGGGTGCATAGACTGCCACCACTAAAAATGCTGTTAACTGTTTATGTGCTTTTAACCCAGGCTAGCTTAATCCTGAGATCAAATTACAAATTGAGTCAGTTCTTAAGAGTTTCCACCACTGAAAGCAAAATCTTCCTCCTCCTCCCTGCTTTGCTCCCCAGATTGTCTTGCTACCTCCCGCTGGTCAGAAAAGTACCAGTTAGTATAGAAGTAAGGGAACAGAGTAGTGGTGAGGAAATAGGACTGTGTCTTTTCACAGTGATAAAGTCAGATCTGCTCAAGTTGCAATATGTAACATCACACATAGCCCTCATGGAAGGAGGATTAAACCAATTTGCACTATTGTGCCTATGTCCTGGGTTGTGGCATGTAACATGCTAATGCATGGTATTGTTAACAAGTGTCCAAACTATCAGACTGTATTCCTTGCTTTTCTATCATATTGCTTATGGGAAACAGCCCAGACAATTCATGGCCCAGACAGAAATCTGAGACTGAGTGACTAGGGAGTATTACAGTGATTTTGAAAGTTTAATCAATTAGATGACAGCACGTTATGCACCAAAGAAAAATGTTATCCAGAAATTCTAACCTGGACTAGGCCCTCTGAAATCAAAGACTGAAAACTGAGACCAGGACCTACGCACATCAAGTTTACCTCAAGCCATTTAGAGTACACTACCCTCCTGCACTTGGAATAAATTACTGGCAATACTGTGGGCCATGGAGCAAGGAGGATTTATTAGGAATATCCTCATGGGATGTTTGGGATATTTTGGCATACCTGCTTTACAAAATTAAAAATCATAATCATTAGAACTAAGTTAATTAATAATAGCCTGATGCAAGCAATCATTTCAATATTAACATAAGACTACCACAGAACTTTTGGGCAACTGTTGGAGGTGATCATAAGCTTGCTGTGCTGAATCATACCTGTGTCATATAGATTGATGTTGTCAAACTGTCTTAAAAACAAGGCTTCTATCTTCTTGATTTTGTAGGATTTATTACTGCTACTTTTTTCAAAGTAGAAAGCCAAAACCTACCTAAGTGCTGTATATATTTAAGTATTCTAAGGAACACCTTCATACCAAAGTATACATTGATTTAAAATCTGATCATAGTCTGGAAATGTCACTCGTGAACAGTGTTTTCTTTGTGACTCATCTAGTGCAGTACTGTGTTTCCTGGCATGCAGCCAAGTTAAAAAAAAAAAGTGTAAACAGAACTTTGAAATTAATTTGCCATTTCTTACTACTCAGCACAAAGTACAGCACAAATATTCCATTTATTTACCATAACCTATGCTTTCTGCATAGGTTATCTGTTACGGAGAAGTAATGAGTCAGGTACACGAGAATCTCTTGAGTAAATTCTTAATCTTTGCATTTATCAGGTCATACTTCTGTTTTTTCTTCTGGTGCACATCTATTTCTTAATGTTTGGAACAGGAACTTGTTTAAAACTCTGCATATGTTCCTATTCTTTTAGTATAGCTAATTACATATAAAGATTTGAATGTAATTTCATAACTAGAAACCTTAAATGAGGACGTGATGAATCAGATGAATGGAGATCAGACTTCATTTTTGCTGAGGCAAAACATTATGGATGTAGGCATCAGCCTTTATTGGTCACATAATCAGGTGTCCTCATAAATATTTGTCCCGTTATCTGGATATACTTATGTGCTGTCATGCATCCAGAATTACTGCCTGGGGCTTCAGTGATGTAACTGGTCTCTGTGTATCTCCTGTGGAAAGCACCTGGGTCATACAACAGGCAGGGGGCAGTTGTTGCAGGGGACCTAGAGGAAAGAATTTGGCAAGAAGCAGCTCTAGGCCAAGTTACTCTTATGGACTGTTTGGAGTTAGATCACTAGAAATTGTTGGTTTGTTCAGAGTGGCCAAAACACTGTTTGCTGGAGTCACTAACACAAATACAGGCAAAACCTCCTTGCATTCATCTAACAGTGGTAGAAGAGTTGCAGCTGCCAAATCCTTTTGTCTTTTAAGAGATAGATTATGATTCCCTTATGCTGAGTAGTGTTTTCCCATTTCAAATAGTCCTATTAATGTCACAGAATCACACAATCATAGAATAGTTAGGGTTGGAGAGGACCTTAAGATCATCTAGTTCCAGCCCCCCTGCCATGGACAGGGACACCTCACACTAAACCATGTCACCCAAGGCTCTGTCCAGCCTGGCCTTGAACACTGCCAGGGATGGAGCATTCACAACTTCTTTGGGCAACTTTTTCCAGTGCCTCACCGTGTCTCAATGCAGTAAATATATCAACGTAATAGATAGTTATATAAATATCTACCCCATTAGAGATTAGCATTATCCAAGAGAACAACTATTAAAAAAAAATAATCTTACATACTTTCTCAGTAGGTAGGCTTCTGGATGTAAGAATTAGGCCCTATTCCTCCAATTTGACTAGTAGCAAAAAAATCAAAATCCTATGCAGAATCCCTCTTAGATCAATTTAACGAATGAGGAAAAGACAACATGGAGTTGTTTATTGTTCTTTTTTGAAATGCACTTAAACTTGGGTTGTTTTTTTTTTTTTTAATTGGGAAGAAATCTCCCTAAAAGCTATATTTAAGATTGAGTTGCATATTTGTGTTGTGGTTTAAGCCCAGCCAGTAACTCAGCCCCACACAGCCGTTCGCTCACCCTGCTGCTTCCCCAGGCAGGATGGGGAGGAGAACTGAAAGAACATAAAACCCACAGGTTGAGATATGAACAGTTTAATAACTAAGATAAAGTAAAATACAGAGATAATAGAAAGGATACCAACAATAACAATAATGATAATAAAAGAAAACAACAAGAGAAGAAATGAAAGCTCAGAAAACACAGGTGATGCACAATACAATTGCTCACCACCTGCTGACTGATGCCCAGCCTGACCTGAGCAGCAATCAGTTCTTCCCAGGTAACTCCCCTCAGTTTACATACTGGGCATGACGTGCTGTGGTATGGAATAGCCTTTGACGAGTTTGGGTCAGGTGTTCTGTCTCTGCTCCCTCCCGGCTTCATGTGCCCCTCCTCACTGGCAGAGCATGAGAGACTGAAAAGTCCTTGATCAGGGTAAGCATTATGTAACAACTGAAAATACTGGTGTGTTATCATCATTGTTCTCAGACTAAAGCCAAAACATAGCAATGCACCAGCTACTAGGAAGAAAAGTAAGTGTTACAGCTGAAACCAGGCAATTTGGAATATGCTATGCTATGTGTAGAAGAAAAAGCCTTCTAACAGACTTTTTAAAGGATTAAAAGTTGGATTTTGCTGTAATTTACAATGGAACTAGGTGAATGATGCATGATTATTAAAACCTGAGAGAAGTTATCCTATGAGGCATAAAAATCTTGTTTCTGTTCTTTCTTCAGCTATTATTGTGTACAGGTTGCCCTGGACCTGGAAGTGCAGCAAAGTCCTAATGAAGTTCATACATGCTGGATTAAATACCATAGCTATGATTCTCGCAATTGTTTCTATGGTAGCCGTGTTTGAATACCACAATGCCGGTAACATTCCTAACATGTACAGTCTGCACAGCTGGATCGGGCTGACTGCTGTTATATTTTATTCTGTCCAGGTCAGAACCTAACTGTATTTATAAACAGGTATTGAGTAATTCAGGCACAATAGGCCCTCACTAAAACACTGTAACTACTCAGATACCCATTTTACATTCTGTGATGTGGCAAATTAGCAAATGTGCAAATACAGAATCCTTGCCTACAAAGAAAAAATGTATTTTAAAGCATATGTTGTTTATTTGTTTGGATAATGGCAGTTTATTCACTAATTAGTTATAGGATAGTGTGTTTGTAAGCTCTATACACTGCTGAAGTGAAAGCAAATTATTTGGTTTGTTGGCAGCATATATAAATACAGTGAGGGATTTTACTAAGGAAGTCTCAAATGGTTTTCCTTTTTTACAGCTATCATGATTTTAAGTAGTCACTTCTTGGCCTCAAGACTTCTGTTTATCAGCAGAACAGTGCAGCAGGGAGCAGTGCAGATTGAAAGGATCTGACATCTGAATGAGCTGCTAGCCAGTTTTCCTGAATCAGCAAAAGTTTTCTAAATGCTCATGTACATGCTTTTAACTGCTCCTAGTGGCAGACAATTAGAGTCATCGTAATCTAAAATGAGCTAATCTGGATTGCATTTGGCATAGAATAGGAACAGACATGCCCTGACATTTAGTGTACGCATACAGATGTGATGTTTCTACGTACATGTTCTGAATTGCCTATACTTTATCATTACACTATGGAAACATATTTTGTTCCTTCAAATTGTGACTCTTCATTTTTTTGCCAAAACACCAAAAAGAAATAAGACTTAATTATCTGGTGATCAAGCATTAAAAATCCCCAGCTAAGGAATTTGGGTTCTGGACTTTTATCCTTCACTGCTCTGGCTACCAGGTATAGGAAATGGTGTTGAAATAGTGATTTTAACACTTAGAAAAAAAGAAAGCATATTGCAGCATTGTCACATATATTCTTTATAGCTGAAAAAATGAATAAGAATGAATATGAATGAATAAGAAGGAACAATGTTTTTCTTGTTAGTAATACAGTTATTTCAGGGAAATCTGTGCTGCCACTATCCTGGGTATCATCATTTTTTCTAATGGTTCAAACAAAGAATTGTAAATAAGAACTTAACTCTGACTTTCCTTTTGCTACTATAAACATGATCAATGGCACTTAATGCCTTGCCTGTCTCACCAACAGAACTCTGGTGTTACTTCCTCCAAACTGGAATGTAAGTCTCCAGTCAGAGACTGCTGTCTGTTAACTGATTGAGCACTCTTGTTAAAATATAGTCTCAAAGTCTCTGTTAATAGAGAAGACCTGTGTCATTTGCCAGAAATGGCATGTCAATCTCAAAACTGAAAAGTTATGGGGAGGGGGGGGTGTGTGTTCACATAATTCTATACCTATAGGAACGATAGTGTAAATTTACTGTATTTAAGCCAAATGTATGTTAATACAGTAAAACACAAGGACATAAATTTAAGAACAAGGCAGAAACATAGATTGGAGATTGGCTCTTGGGAAGCAGTGTCTCTGGGAAGTACTCAAAGATGACATGAAGCTCAAAATGAATTCTCATGATGCTGTGAAAACAAAGGTAAATTCTAATAAGAGATTATCTTAACCTTCATATATGGCATTAATGAGATGAATATGAAATCCTGTGGAATAAATATTTTTTTTAATGTAAAAAAAAATATATATAAGGCAAAGAAAAACTAAACAAGTAAATTGAGAGCTAGAAAAAATGCCATCCAATGAAAGACTTAAAAAGTGTCAACTGTTTAGCAAATCTAAACAAGATTAAGAGAGGTCTTGATTATGGTGTATTAAAAAGCTTCGCAGGGAGAAAATGCCAGGCTGTTTAATCTAACAAGGGAATTAAAAATAAGCACTGAGACTGGAAGTTAAAGTAAGATGAAATGCAAATTTATGCACTATTTCTAATTTAGCAACAGTGGTGAATAATGGCAGAACAAAATAAAGAAGGGATGCAACCTCAGTATGAATGGATAAGCCTGTGACTCAACCATGTGACATGATGGGTTGGTTATCTTCTGTCACAAAATAAGTGCTAATGGGAGGGCTCATGTCCCCTAAATAACTTCACACCACTTGCACATCTTCACTCTGTAAATGCCAACTGATTGATACACTGAGAGACTGCTGCCTTTCTAAAGACATGTACTTTAACTAACACTCTAACAAGGTAGAATTATTTAGTCCACTTAAGTCAAAAGGTGAGGCTGCATTCTGATCTTCATTTATGTGTAAATCTGCAGTAGAAGCAGAGAACAGGACTTGAAGAGACTGCAAAAATCTAGCTCTTCACACCTTTAATATATTACTCAATTAGTAACATTGAAAATTTGTGTTTCTAGTACTTAGTTTGGTTGCAGTTTTAGCATTACCAGTAAGTCTGGACACTGATATTAGCTGGGATTATTTATAAAATATTTCATGTCTGCTTCCCAGGTGCTAATCCAGAATTACCGCTTTGGTTTTGAACAGAAAGACATTCAGAAATAAAAATGCCAATTCTTTTCAAATTTGTACCTGACAACATCTCAAAATGGAATCTTTATGATGATTTTTATTCTGCTTGAGAAATTCACCTTGTTTCCCGTATAGGTTTAACTATGAATCTGTTTTGTGTTTAGCTTTTCTTAGGTTTTGCTGTCTTTCTGCTCCCTTTTGCTCCAGTTTCCCTCCGAACAGCAGTTATGCCAATACATGTTTATTCGGGTCTTACCATCTTTGCAACGGTGATTGCAACAGCTCTCATGGGAATCACAGAAAAGCTTATATTTTCCTTGTAAGTATTTTTTTCCCATTTGTTTATCAAGGTTATTCACTGCAAACTCTATTCCATTTGCACACAATAACAACCACTGAATATTGCACCATTGTTTTCTTTTGCTTTGTTTTGTTTTTAAAAGACTTCCTACCTAGTAGGTTTCTGATGTTTCAAGACCAGGACTGTCTGTAAAACAACTGACCTTATTATTTTTTTTTTATCTTCCAAAGGCGCAGTAATCCTGCATACAGTGAATCCCCACCAGAGGCAACTTTGGTCAATTGTCTTGGTGTTTTGCTTGTCATATTTGGTATATTTATTCTGTGGATGGCAAGCAGGCCCTATTGGAAGCGCCCTCCAGAGGAGAATGCTAAAGCTCTGCTGACTACTGGAGGGACTCCTGAAGGCACAGAAGAAGAATCCACGATGACAGATGGTGGCACTGCAGATAAATCTGATCTGAGGATCAACAGTGAAGCAGCCAGAAAACAAAACCTCAAACTTGATGAAGCAGGACAACGATCAACTATGTAAAGACAATACACAGAATAACAGTATGGTTATACTGCCAGCCCGCCTCTCCCTCACCACTGTTCCTTATGATTTAGTTATGTTGATATATAAATAGGTTGGGGTTTTATTTGCTGTACAGCTTGCTCAAAGATAGTAAAGTTTTCTGCATATGATTTAAATTCCAGTAAGTCTCAAACATATTATATAGGCTCATGCTCAGTCCTCATTTAAAAAAAGCGAGTGTGAATGCTATAACGGGAGAATCACATAACTGGAAAATGTTCTCCATATTAACAAGATTGAGGCTAAATTTTGTTCTGAGTTATTTTGTAGGTTATGTATAAGAGTCATGAAGTATATCCGACAGCAGAATTTAGTTGCTCACATATAATTTTTCTGGTAATTTCATGCTTTGAAAGCCCTGATTTCTTGAGTTGATTAACCCCCTTCACCAACTTCTAAGATTTAAGGTAATTAATCACATAGCAGAGTGGCACCATAAAAATGTTTTGTCTTATTTGAAAAGATACAGATACACACTTAGAAAAATATGTATCACTTAAACCAGGTCTTCCTTTTATCTCAGATGGCAGCATTTTCCTATATTTGCACAGTTCTCTTGATTTATGGCACTAGACTAGAAATTAGGAACAGAGAAGAAAGCAGAGAAGACTGCTAGCAGTCTCACAGAACAAAGGATCTTGAAGTGAGAAATGGTTCTTATAGGAAAGTGCTGAGCTTTGCTGATTTGATTAAAATGCTACCTGTTAACTAAAAGCCAATTTTTGTATCTCCACACTGGTGTCAAAATCATCACTGTTATGGGCATGAAGACATACTTTAGTCTACAAGCAAACTATACAAACTCTTATGACTTTTTAATTTGAAATTAAATAGTTAAATAATGCAATTTGAGCCTCTACTGGCACTTTATAGCTCTTCCTAGTAATCGGAGTATTACTGTATTACATTCATTCATTATTTTCACAGATATAAACAGTGTTTGTATTTTTTATTACTACAGCAGAATAATTATAGTAGATTATTTTGATTGCACATGCCCAAAAGGAGGAGCCTATTATAATCTCTTGTAAAAACTGTAGAGCCCACTTCAAGTCCAAATTTACCATTGCTCATGTTGCAATCTAGACAGTTTCAGACAGCATATAATTTCCTATTTTTTTAACTGTGTAATTTTTTATGTACTTCAGCTTTTTAAAATGTTTAAACACATTCAACTTTAGAAAATACGTTATTTTTGCAGTTCAGTATCAGGACAATTCTGGTCATGAGTTCTTTTGGATCTTCTCTAACAAAAACATCTGTTATTTGATTTGTAATAACATTTAGTCATTTGGTGAATGCAGTATAGAAAGCTAGCATAGTGAATTACTCGGAAAACTTTTCTGCAGTACCATCTGGTACTTGAGGACTACATCTCAGGGTTCTGTGTTTTCACTGACACGTTTGTGGATGGCTGGGACCCACCTAGATTTAGTGAATTGTTTCATTTAAACTGTCTGCTTTTAAATACCTTAGTGTAAAATTCGGGTATGACAGGAGGAATACTAAACTACTGTGTGAGCACAAATAATACAAAACTACTCCTACTACCACTAATAATAATACTAATGATAAGAGAAATAACAAGGGGAGAGAATATAAAACTAAAGGGGAATAGGGAAAAAATCAATAAACGTGATGCACAATACAATTGCTCATCACCTGCTGACCAATACCCAGTCCTACCCAAGTGGTGATCCAATCCTTCTGGGTAACTCTCACCAGTTTACATACTGGGCAAGATGTGCTGTAGTACGGAATACCCCTTTGGCTAGTTTGTGTCAGTGTCCTGTCTCTGCTGCCTTCCAGCTTCTTGTACCCCTCCTCACTGGCAGAGCGTCAGACTGAAAAGTCCTTGATCTGGGTAAGGATCACTTAGCAACAACTAAAACATAGGTGTGTTATCAGCATTGTTCTTGGACTAAAGCTGAAACACAGCACCGCACCAGCTACTAGGAAGGAAAAAAAAACACCTTACAGTTGAAACCAGGACAAGATTAAAATCCAAATAGTACTGATAGCAGCTTTCTTAAAAACAAGAGCACTTATTTTACATTACGTTAATGCTCAGCTGACAAGACCTGATTACGTTATGCATAATGTTATGCGTCCTATTACAAATTTATATATTGAACACTAAGTAGGAAGAGGGATTTGCAGTAGTTTCTGGAGAACTCTAAACTGCGCTGTTGTTTTCTGATCTCGTTAAGTTTTGCTCAACAAGCCTGCTTTTTGATTAAATCAGTAAGCATCTTACAGCTGGTGGATGCATGTTTAGTCTTCATGAAAGGTGCTCTATTAATACTTTTGAAGTATAACAGATAAAATGAATAAATGAACTCAGCTGTTCTAGTAATTTACTATGCTAGCTTTCTCTACACACACAGGCAACAGCAGTCTGAGTTGGTATGTACTGGCCTGTTACCGTGTCTCGTCCATTTGTGAAAATGAGCTCTTTCAATCCTTGCCTAGTACCCAGTGCGTGGAAGGCAGTCACTTATGTAAGAATTGCTCTGGAAGAAACTGTCTAGTATATTGGGGAAAAAAAAATCACAAAATCTGTGATTCCTTTTGTTATGACATTGACTTGGATGTATTGAAATCAACAGCTTTTAGGTGAATGGTTCTATATGCTGTTAAGCTACAGCAAACAGTATGTCTTCTGGTTTACGTTTTATTCCATGTACTGTTTAAGGGTAATGATACTTGAAAAAGAATGGTGGCATTTCTTCATCCCTCTATTCTGATGATGCAAAATTAACTGAAAATCAAGACTAGGCAACCTTTTGGGAATACTCTGCTAGAGTACATTTTTGGTTTTCAACTATGAGGTTAAACATGATAGTAGAAACTCAGTGGGATCTGGAAGATTCCATTCTGTGAAATTATCATCATCAGCGGTATCTCCTATGTATGAACTGTGGGTTTCTAGCTGCTTTGGTCTTTGGAAGGTCCCTATGAGATGCAGTATCTGTGAGCTCCTAAACCTTGCTCAGCTTTGGAGTGTACAATTTAAAACAGACTCAATGTGCTATAGATTTTTGGCTTCTGCTCTGAACTGATTAAGAAGGTCTTTAAGTATCCTTGCAACATATGAGGTTAGTTCAAGTGCTAAATAAAAATACATAGGACTTTGGAGATCAATTTTCATGAGGGGAAAAAAACATATTCCCAAGCTGCTTCTCAGAGTAACCTTCCATTAACTTTCCTTTCATGCAACTTTCCTTACATGTATTATGGGTAATAGTAGCCACACAGGAAATAAAAAAGTGTATTTTCAAAGATATAAATGGAAGGTATAACCTTAGCTTTTTTATCAAGATTTTTCTGCATGTATGGAAATCTTCTACATTAGTGTATTTACAAGGATATGATTGTAGAGCTCACATTCCAAGTTTGGATTCCTCATAAAACATACCAAGTTACAAAACCTGACATTAAAAGTGCTATCTTTTTAAGATGCCTGAAAAAAAAATGAAATGTAATTAGATGCTGCCATGCAGTTCTGTGCACAGCAGCAGAACAGTGTTTCCTCCAACATTAATGAAACAGAAATGATGGTCCAAATTAGGTTTTAAAGTTGAATGTACAGTAATTGCTGTACACTTCTTACTTCATGTAACCAAGATCACATATGATATTGAAAATACAATATTGTAAATATGGATTACTTATTTACATGGATATTTTACTGAAAGACTAAGAGATATTGCCAAAATTTTCTATTTCAGAACTCTTTTTCTTCTATTTCAAAAAAATTCCCTCCTCTTTCTAATTGTTCACAAGAACCCAAAGAATTATTTTATTGTTTTGTTACTACTTACTTGTAGATGAAAGCAAATGTTTAATTACAGTGTCTATTTTCCTTATTCTTTTTGTATGTTAATAAAAAATGATTTTTCAAGCTTATAATATCACTGAGTAGTGATTTATATTATAGTGCTAAAATACAACTTTCTAAATTTGGCAAAAGATCAAATTATTCTTATGGTTACTTTTTGAAAACAGGAGGATAGTTGTACAAAATTTCTTAAACATTTCTTACTAGCAAATATTCTTGATGATCTTCCTGATGAAATTTATGTACTCTGTAGTACATAGATTTCACCTTCTTATCCTAACAGACATTCCTCAGAGCAGTTGTTAGAGAATGAAAAAACCCCATAAACTATCCGTAGTCATGAGACTGCCATAGCAGATGAGGGAAAATAATAAATTCTGATATATGACATAATGCACTGTAAAATCCAGATACCCCCTGATACATAACCGCCAAACTGGACACAAAGCAAAGGTTTTGACCCCATGGAATCTTCTAACCCAGATTTAACACCTGCACACCAAGTTACTCATCAATAGGTTATTGATAAGTAATATCATAAGAATGCTATAAATGGCAAAACCCTCTGTAGGAACATACCTGTAACAAGTAAGAATTAAGGTATGTTCTTCAGCTTAGTAAGATTAATTACTCTTCTAAAAGTGTAAAGCATAAACTGATTATTCCTGAATACCATACAGCTGCTGGATAAAACTTTCCAACATTGTCATTATTGTGGAAGAGTAAAATAAACCATTACAATCATAAGTACAGTAGAAAACTTGCTGTATTCAAACCTGAGATTCCCTGTTGCTGATAACTTCTCTTAATTGTCTCCTATAGACTGGATTTTGGGGAGAAAGTTCTGGTAAAATGGCCCATATTTTTCCAATACATTTATTATTACAAAATTCAGTAAAATCTCAATTGCATCCACACTTGAAAGAGGGGACACAAAACTATGGCAGGAAGGCTGCATTTGTGTGGCTAAGAGGTGTTTGTGAGTAGTTGATGGAACACTTGCAGCTTATGCACAGATTTTTTCATTGTGTTACAATAGGAGCAATACATTTTATCTCTGTAAGACTAGTGGGCAGTAATGAAGGGCAAATTACTACCCAGGAACAGACGGCAGTCCAGGTCAACAAAATGGCTGACAACTATTCCAAGTGATGATGCTAACAGAAGAAAGGAGGACAAGTCGAGAAAATCCAGTTACTGCTGTACACCTACCAGAACTCTAAAAAATGACAGGACCACAGTTAGCTCTAATAGAATAAGTAGAAACAACTGATATAAATTTCAATGAGCTCACTCATGTTTGCCAAATATGGTCATCGTTGACTACTGACCAACCTATGTTAGCTTGGGGCTTGAGTTTACAGTTGAATCCATGGCCATGTTTTCCGACTAGTGTCTCAAATTCCACCTTTTGTCTATCACCAAGTCAAGCAATAGCTACATAGCTATCAGTAAATGGATTAAAGTTGTGAAAATGTGAGCAATTTTGATTTAAATTTCCACTAGCATTTCATTACAACAAAATAAATTTCCACCTAGTGGTACTCCAAGTCTGCAGGATATTATATAAGTAGTGTCATCAATGAGATTTTACAATATTTTTGTAGGTGATCCTTCTCTTGTATACAAGCAGTAATCCACTAGGTGGCAAGCACCAAACTGCCTTTGGCAGACGGTACTCTGTCATGGCTTTAGATGATAAAATATGATGAGTCATCTGCCTTAAAATAAAATATAAAAGTTAGTAAATATAAACCACAGCCATGTCAGAATTTATATATTTAGTTTGGTATTATTTTAAAAGGGCTGTAAATCATTCTTTATTGTGCTGTATGTCAGATGTTAAATTTCTGTTTGTAACTTCTGTGCAAGTACAGCTTGGATAAAAGATGCAACAAGGAGAACACAAGAGCATGAAAGTTTAGGGATAAGCTCATATACAAGATATGAAAGTAGTGAGAATTCAAAAGAAACAAGAACTTCGAGTACTTTTGCCATTTGTTCTTGCAATCTCACAGAAAATTTGACCCTGAAAAAGTGAGTATTAGTGCCAATTTCAAATAACCAAGAAGTTCTACCCTCTGATACATGCTAGCAGCTTCTGTTCTGAATTTACCCTATTTGTGGATCCTGACTTTGTAAGCATGTTTTCTGATATATTCCACTGAACATACTAGTTTCAGTACTACTGAAAGTTCTTTGTACATGATATGCTAGCAGTACTTCCTCATCTGACTTGCTTACCTGTCCTCTCAGGCTACATTGGAAGACACTCCT